ACCTCCACACCGGCCAGTCCGAAGACGGGGTCTTCTTGGACGACCAAGGGACACCGCTGTTCGACCCGCGCACCATCCGACACCCACGGTCCTCAGAGTGGACACTGCCAGATCACCTGGCGAAGTTCATACATTACTGGCTGCGCAAACCGCTGGAGAAGGAGGTACGGGCACGCCTCAGGACTGAATGTCCCAGGCCGCTAATTCCCGACAAGGTGGCGCTGACGCCCGAATTCGACGACACTATGGTGGTCTTCATGTAGCGCACGGGCAGGGACCCGCGCAAAGGGGCGGAAAAGGGCATGAAAGCGGCACAGGACAAAGTGCTGGACTTGCTCGGCCCCATTGCCAAGATGCTATACTTCGCGGACCTCGCTCTCAGCCAAGACTCTCAACTGGACCCCCATGTCATACGTGAATGGGCTCAACGCGCTGTGTGTCTACTGGGCAATGCTAATGCCGCACTTTGTGTCGAAAGGCGCAGATCGGCCCTAATACGTATTGATAGCAAGCTCCTGGACCTCAGGGCTAAAGAATTCGGACCGAAATCTCATGGCCTACTTTTTGGCGATGCCTTCATCGCGGAACTTAAAAGACACGTGAATCTATTCACGACCCTGAACAAGGCTCAAACCTCTCTCAAACAGGTGTTCCACACCCCATCCACAAGAGGTGTTTTTGGAAGGGCTGGTCAACAACGGAACCGTGCCACCAGCCGCTTTTGGGCCTCAGGTTCCAGACCGTTCCCACAAGCCCCTAATTTCTTCCCGTCTACGACGCAAAGGCCTTCATCGTTCAGAGGAACGGGGAGATCCAGAGGCTTCAGAGGCCGTGGCCGCGGCCGCTTCTCCAATGGTGAGTCCACCTATATACACAAATGCATCAACATTTATTGCAGGCAACCTTTCCTTTTTTTTCCAGAACTGGGAACTGATTACCAAAGACGCCTGGGTCCTCCAGACGGTTCGGGGTTTCGTCATAGACTTCGCCACCCGACCCATTCAAAATGCCCCCCCTCCCCCAATCCACGTCAGCAGGACAAAGCCACCTAATAGACGAAGAGGTCCGCGCTCTCTTCGAAAAAGGCACGATACAATACGCACCGGACGGGGGAGGCTTTCTAAGCAACATTTTCTTGGTCAAGAAGAAGACGGGCGAGTACAGGCCGGTTATCAACCTCCGACAGTTAAACTCATTCGTAATCTACAGACACTTCAAGATGGAAGGAATCCACCTTCTACAAGACCTTCTCGTCGAGAACGACTGGTTTACTCGCCTGGACCTCAAAGATGCGTATTTATCCGTCCCAGTGGACGTCCAATGCAGGCAATTCCTCCGTTTCCGATGGAAAGGACGGATATGCCAATTTACATGCCTGCCATTCGGCCTCAGCTCAGCTCCGTGGTGCTTCACGAAGCTGCTGAGACCAGTGAAGGCTCACATCCGAACGAGGGGCATACGTTGCCTCGTTTACTTGGACGATTTGCTAATTTTTTGCGAATCCGCATCCAGGCTGCGATCACAGACGAAATTTGTCGTTCACTCGCTAGAATCCCTGGGTTTCGTAGTGAACAGGCAGAAGTCGTCTCTCTCTCCCTCCCAGTCGGTCCAATTCCTGGGTTTCGACATAGATTCGAAGGAATGTGTACTACGCCTTCCACCAAAAAAGATAGCCTCAATAAGGAAGGAAATCAGACGGGTCCTGAAGATGGACACAATACCGCTCAGGATGCTCGCTCGAATCGTGGGACTCCTTTCCTCCTCCATACAAGCGATATTCCCGGGCCCTCTACACTACAGGGCCATGCAACGGCTGAAAGCAGAATACCTGCGCACCGGACACTCTTACGACCACTGGATCCCACTCTCGTCGGAAGTAAGGTCGGAACTACGATGGTGGTTACTACATATACAAGCCTGGAACGGCAAAGCGATCTTCGGCCCTTCGCCGGACTTCATAGTGGAATCGGACGCCAGCCTGTGGGGATGGGGCGCTCATTGCACAGACGCCTCCACGGGAGGCCCATGGCAGGAGGAGGAGACCAGCCTACACATCAACTGCTTGGAACTGATCGCGGGATCCTTCGCCATCCGCAGCCTGGCCAAGGACAGGTCGAATTGCTGTATCCTGCTCCGCATGGACAATGTCTTGGCGGTACAATACATCAACCGCCTGGGCAGAGCGAGGTCAAAAGACCTGACGGAAGCCACGAAGGACATCTACAGTTTCTGCCTACGGAGGAACATCACGCTGCAAGCAGAATACCTCCCAGGAATCTCCAACCTGACGGCGGATTGGTTCTCCCGCCACTGGAGAGACACCAGCGACTGGAAACTCAACAGGGAGATATTTCAGACGCTACGTCAGCGGTTGGGCCCACTGACAATAGACTTGTTCGCCTCCAGGACCAACCACCAACTACCAAGGTACTACAGTTGGCTTCCGGATCCGAAGGGCGAAGCAGCGGATGCATTCCTGCAGGACTGGCCCTCCCTCGGGGCCTACTCTTTCCCTCCTTTCTCACTGATCCCAAGGGTACTGCGATACACCCGCACTCACAGGATATCGCTCCTGCTCATAACACCACTTTGGCAGAGCCAACCATGGTTTCCGGACCTCCTGGAGATGTCGCACGACCATCCCCTTCGGCTCCCGACCTACCCGTTGCTCCTGTCGGGACCTCAAGGGGAACCCCATCCCCTCGTCCTGGAAGGACAACTAGAACTGGTGGCCTGGACGATTTCAGGGGCTCCTGGTCGGTCCATGGCCTATCGCAACCTACTAAAGACCTCCTATGGGACTCATGGGCCCCTGGCACCAGGAGATGTTACATATCCGCCTGGTCAGCCTTGAGTGCTTGGTGCATGGAAAGGGATTCTGATCCCTTTACTGCCTCTGTCCCACTGATCCTCAACTATCTCGCTCATCTGTTCTCAACAGGTCGATCATATAGATCCCTTAACGTGATCAGATCGGCTATTTCAGCGGCGCACGTCCCAGTACAAGGCAAGCCAGTGGGTCAAGATCCTCTGGTATGCCGTCTACTGCGGGGTGCCAAACTTACAAGACCCCCAGCACCCAAATACTCCAGCCTCTGGCAGGTGAATAGGGTGCTGGACTTCCTGCGGGGCTGGCCGGACAACCCTGTTCTATCGCTGAAACAGCTTTCAGCAAAACTGGCTCTTTTGTTATGCCTCGTCTCATTTAGACGGGTGGCAGACGTTAGGGCTTTTGACGTGGACGGTTTTTCTCTCACTCCGGAGGGAGTCACCTTCTCCATTTCTAGACGGACTAAATCACTCGTCCTCAGTGTCTTATCCATATTTCGAATCAGACTCCAAGCTGTGCGTTGTCAGGACACTTCTGAGGTATACAGAAGTCACAGCCAACCTTCGGCTCATCCCGACGGGTCAGCTGCTGATTTCCTACGTAAGACCTCACGCACCGGTGTCTACAACAACCCTGGCCAGATGGGTACGCTGGCTACTGAGGCTGGCAGGTATCGAACCTAGCTTTGGAGCACATTCGGTCAGGGGTGCGGCAGCATCCCAAGCCTTCTTGGCAGGCGCATCCCTAACCGACATTATGCGTTGCGCTGACTGGACACGGGAGAGTACGTTTAGGACATTTTATTTCCGCCAATCCTCTCACGCCTCCTTCACACTAGTCAAGTCTAAGCTTTAAAAATGCAAATATGAAGCCTCCTGTCATGTGGTAAAATTGAAGATTATATTAGCTTTAGTGTACTAATAATCTTAATTTTAGTAATGACAGGAGGCGAATATTTCCCACCCTATAGGATCCCTCCCTAGTTGTCTCGTGTTATATAGTGTGTGCTAGTGTTGAGGATAGCATGCATGTTAGGATTGTATTACTGCTTAGACATGTAGCTGTCTCTCGTACAGCATTGTTGGGTTCGTGATCATGTGCATTGTGTTATGTTGTGTTTTACTTATTAAATGTCTTAACTTACGGTTTTTTATACAAGTGTTGATAGTTATCACAGTCTGTATCCATTGGAATTGTCAGGTTCTTATGTTTGTTGCATGCGGACAGGTTTCCACTTCAGAGACCTTTCACCTTTTTCTTTTTTTATTTCAGCGTGAACGTCTTCTCTTCGGGACAAGAACTCACCTTCTCATACCGTTACACCATGGAATTACCGGAGTTATGTTTCCTGCTATATTGTTGAACTGTTAACTGAATGTGTTTGTGTTTTTGTTGTTATCTATTTTTCGCTTCAAAGAAAGAGGAAGTGATGTCATAGACAGGGCCTTTTATGGGCACCATATCTTTTTTCTGATTGGTTGTTACTGTTTCTATGCTGCTGGAGTTTTCAGTAAAGAAAGATATACAAATATTCGCCTCCTGTCATTACTAAAATTAAGATTATTAGTACACTAAAGCTAATATAATCTTCAATTTTATTAGACGATTACTGATTGGCATTTCCATACTACATCCTATAAATACTACAAAAAGAGAACTGCAGAGAGTTTAAACGGGCGACCCAACACATAGATATGACAATGTGCAATGTGACATGACGATACACACAGTAAGATCAAAATAAGCCTCTGTTCCTGTTCCTGTTATTGGGAAACAATGATTATTTTTAAATAGATAAAGATTAACTCTGCTCGCGCCAATTAAAGTGCATTTTACTTGTTTTACCGTAATGTAAAACCATCAGTAACGCCATTCTGACACACACAATGGGCACACCGCCATCCCAAAATCCTAATACATTTCTTTATGTTATTCTTATTATTTAATTAATACCTAAGAAAAACAGTCAAATAAACAATATATATTTATGTTGTTGTCATGTCGATGCTATTGCAGTCTGCAGACCCCCGACGTACCATCCATCACCTAAAATATTCTCAGATAAAAGCTATAAACCAGGATAGGAGACATGAGATTGACCAATTCAGAGCTTGTTTTATTATCATCATTATTTTATTATTTATATAGCGCCATCAGATTCCGTAGAGCTGTACAATTTTATGTCCAGGTTAGCTGGCTCGATCTCCCAAGCCGTCTTTAATATTTCCAATATCCGAATGGGTTAATTCACTACAGTGACAATTCATGGCTAATTTCAAATGAAGACAGAACTGGAGATCTTTTCTAATTCGGTGATTTTTGTCTTATATTTTAAATTCACTTTTAATCGTCACTTTATTAAATAACGCTGTGAGTATCTGTTATCTGTTATCTATAACTGGCAACAAAATGTAAAGGGTCATTCTAATCTGCAACTAACACGTTCAGTTTAATACAATATATATAGATCATGTGTTTAAAAAATTTATACAAAAGTAACTAATTCCAAAAAACAATATTTGTACTTTTTGTGCAAACCCTCACATTAAATTTTCATTTTGTCCAATGCCAGGGAGTGGGGTTGGCATATCTAGTCTACGGAGTCTGACCTGTGGACATGTTTAACCCAAACTCATTACTGCTCAGAGCAAGGGTTTCTGGGTCTTGTAGTTGAGTTATTAGAATTCTGGGAGCTTAACTACAACTCCCAGAAAGCTTTGCTGTGCTTGTTTGTGTGATGAAAACCTATGTTTTTAGACAGTGCAGGTTAGGAGGGAAGGTCAGACAGGAAGCAGTATGCAGTATTCAGCAAGAAGGAAATTTGAGTTTTTTTGGCTAACTTAATAAAAAATATTGGGCAAGAAAAAAATATATAGCTAGCATTTTAGGTGAGGAGCTATAAAATGAATAAAAGTTGTTTTGGTGGCTGGAGAGTCTTGACTTTCCCCCTGCGTGCCCCACCCTTCATTCTGACTGCTCTCCCACCATCAGCACTGTGTTAAATCCTCAGAATACAAACATTTCTTGCAGGAAGTAAAACTCGATCACCTTAGGACAGAGAGAGAGATTAATTCCTTCCTGAAAAAAACACTTCAAAATAAATATGTAAATATTCAAGATAAATACATGGCCAAACCGTGTTCGATGTTTTCTTACATTTTGCAGGTAACGGGAAATTCATAAAGGATCGTTTAATTTATATAAAAAGAAAACTAATTACCAAACGCTGATTTTGAATCTGGTTCCACAGCTTAGATTGAATAGCATTCCGCTATACAGCGACTTTTAACTGCAGAGATTTACATAAACTACAAATAAAACAATGGCTACTACGGCTGTCCCCAGCTTCAATGACATTACAGGAGGAACTAATTTTACTGCTTTCGATGTCCAACCTGCGCACAAGTTACAGAAAGTGGGGCGTACAGTGATCTGTCTATCTAAATTGTTTAAATTAAAAGCCCCCAACCCAATGCCCATGGTTGGTCTAAATCCCCCCCTATTATTTCACATGTGTATTTTACACATACACACAAACACCGACAATCACATACTGACCTTACATACACAGACACACACACACAAATACGACAATCACATACTGACCTTACACACACACACACACACACACACACTGATATACACGTACTGACATTACTCATACACACAAATAACGACATACACACACAGAGATACTACATACACACACAGAGATATACACACAAACTGACATTACATACACAGATATACATGCTTAGTGATATTACAAACACTGATATAGGCACATACTGACAGTACATACACACACACACACAGATATACACACATACTGACATTACATACACTCACTCACAGATATACACACATAATGACACTTTTGTTCGAGAGGCAAACAAGAACTATTGTTAACAGTGATGCAATCACTCCGAGCGGGTTGTCAGGACATGAGTGTGAAGAAATCCCTCTTTATGTTCGGTATTTCTCCTCTTTGCATTTGGTAGATGTAACTACCGAACAGAGACCACACCCTGGCTCATTAACTTTAAAGCATGCCTCAATTGAACCTTCTACCTCTGCGGTCGTCGTTCGTATTGCCGAACGCCATGTGGCTGTGAAAACGGCGGCCATCTTTTTTTGTGCGAACAAAGGCAGCGGGACTTGGTCGTCGAGTGTCTGGAACTAAAATCGGAGACTCGACTTCCCGAACACTGGTCTCAACATACGAACGCTGGATCTTTATTTCCCGAACAGCTAGAAGAGCGCTGTTCGGTACTTTTGTTCATTCGTATGAGGGGAACAATCGCTGCTAAGAACCAGGGGAAACCGTTCGTGGAATTATTTGTTTTTTGCTACTAAATGGACTGGCAAAAGTACCCAAATTGTATGTTTTCCTTGTAACTGATTGGTCCCTGTGGGATGTCCCCTTGCACGGGGACTTGCATAAAAGCCAGTGTGTGATAATTAAAAGCCAGTTCTGTTGCACCCTTCTTCTAGACTCCGGCTGATCTTTGGGTATTCGGATGCTTTATTAAGGGAATCATCTTGTAAAGCTATTGTATTCGTATGGATTTTGTTTATTTCATCTGCCGAACGGAGAGTTATAATCACTGATGCTCTGGCCGTTCGGAAGGAAACTACCGAATGAGGATTGGATATACTAGGTTTCCTTACAATCAGTGCAAAGGAATCCTTGTTTTGGTGGGGCTGAGGGCTGTTTCAGCAGGAACGCAAGGGATTTTGGGAGGAGGACTTGATGGGGAACTGTATTTAACGTTTTTTGTATTATTGTTTGCTAAAGACCTCTGTCTGGTATAAATAGCCCTGCCTGGCAGCAGTAAAGGCAGATCTGCTTTTGAACCCCTACATGTAGTCTCGACTCATGGTGTGGGGTAACGGCTATAATCACTGCTATAATTCATTTCCGAATGCTGATCTGATTACGCCAAGATGAGTATCCCAACGGCTCCAAGTGTTTCGGCAAGGCAGTAGTAGATGGTCTGAAAATAGTGGAGAAAGTAACGGAGGTACTTAGCCGGTGTACCAGGAGGTCATTACACATAAAAACACTTATATACATACATACTGACATTACACATGCAGAAATGCTAATATACATACATACTGACAATACACATCCACATGCAAACACCAACTATACACACTGACATTACACATACAGAAACAATATACAATATCAGCACCGGACTGGGGAAAAATATTGATCCCGGACTTCTTTAATCACATCGGCCCACTGAGAAGAGGACGGGGGTGTCATGTCATCACCAATAACAAGCACGCTCCCCTCTCAAAGTGGGCATGTTTAATGTGTTAAAGGTTCAATGCTCTTCCAGGGCAGATGATGTGCAGAGCTCTGCTAAAGAGCACTAGCATGAGAAAAAGGCCCTGTATGTGTTCTGCACATCGTAAGCAAATTTATTAGCATGCTTACTCTGTGTTTGCTTGTAACTTTTCTCTGGTGTCTCCATAAGTGGGATACCAGGAGACAAAATGGCCAGGAAAGTGTATAATCCCTGTGTTTGGAGCCTGCTTGTGGGATTGCGTGTGTGTAGAGTGAGCTGATTGTGGTGTGGAATTGTGTAAACAGGTCAGTTTCAGTCATGTTGTGTTTGAGATGTTATATGTGTGGCTAGGGGCTGTAGAGAGTGAGACAGTGTGTATAGAGGGCATAGTGAGGGAGTGTGTGTAGGGGTTGTAGAGAGTGTGTTTAGGGAATGTAGTGTGTTTGCTTACAGGAATGTAGTATGAGTGTATGTGGTGCAGTGTGTGTGTAGGGGATCTAGTGTTTTTTTGAAGGACCTAGAGTGTGTATAGAAAATCTAGTGTGTTGTGTGTGTGTATAGAGGATTCAAGATGTGTATAGAGTATCTAATGTGTGTAGGTGAAACAGAGTTGTGTGTAGAGGTGCAGTGTGTGCGAGTGATTATGTAGTACATATATATGTTTTCTTTGTGTGTGTTTGAGGGGTGCAGTGTATATGTGAGGGTGCTGTGTGTGTGTGAGGGATGCTGTGTTTGTGTGGTGCAGTGTGTGTGAAGGGTGCTGTGTGAATGGTGCGGTAAGTGTGTGTGAGGGGTGTAATGTGTGTGTTTGAAGGGTGCTGTGTGAACAGTGCAGTAAGTGTGTGTGTGAGGGGTGTTGTGTGAGGGGTGCAGTGTGCATGTATGAGGGGTGCTTTGTGTGTGAATATGTTTGGAGGGATTTTGTGTATGTGTGGGGGAGTCAGATTCATGCATACATAATATATATGTGTTTTTTGTTTTTTTAACTTAAAAAAAAAAAAAAAAAAGTATTGTATCACTTCTTACCTTTTGCCAGGGAGGGGGGCCTTGCTGGAGGTAGTTGATTAACAGAAAATCATTTTATAATCAGCTGTAATATATTACTAACCATTCATGGATTGGAAGGGTATAATAGGTCATTGCGAAAGCTGAAGATTTCTGGATAATTCCCTGGGGAGAGTTAGTGACAATGATGACTCAATGGTGATTGTGAGAAGGACACACAGTCACAGCATGGGGCACGGTCTGGCTTTATACACAGTGTGCAGGAATCTAAAGCAGGAAGCCATGGTTATATTATACTTTCTGCTTTCAGTTAACCTTGTGATAAAATAAATGGCGTTACAGCAGGCGCTGCTCAGCACACAGATAGAACAGACATTATTTATGTTTAAGTTACTAAATGAATAAAAAGCCAAAAACACTAAATAAAAATGGTAAATGTGTTCTGTTTAGTGGTAATTACGAAATGAAAACATGCATCATTGCTCCCCTCTCCACCTTGTGTAAGAGGACATGCAGTGAGGTATATATTTAAAGGGACCTGCAATGAAGTATGTGAGTAAGGGGACATACAGTGAGGTATATATTTAAAGGGATACGCAATGAAGTATGTGAGTAAGGGGACACGAAGTGAGGTATGTATTTAAAGAGACACGCAGTGAGGTATGTATTTAAAGGGATACGCAGTGAGGTATGTATTTAAAGAGACACGCAGTGAGGTATGTATTTAAAGGGATACGCAGTGAGGTATGTGAGTAAGGGGACATGCAGTGAGGTATGTATTTAAAGAGAAACGCAGTGAGGTATGTATGTAAAGGGACACGCAATGAAGTATGTGAGTAAGAGGACATGCAGTGAGGTATGTGAGTACAGGGACACGAGTATGTGAGTAAGAGAACATACAGTGAGGTATGTATTTAAAAGGACTCCCAATGAAGTATGTGAGTAAGGGGAAATACAGTGAGGTATGTATTTAAAAGGACACGCAATGAAGTATGTGAGTAAGGGGACACGCAGTGAGGTATGTATTTAAAGAGACAAGCAGTGAGGTATGTGAGTAAGGGGACACGAAATGAGGTATGTATTTAAAGGGACACGCAGTGAGGTATGTATTTAAAGAGACACAGTGAGGTATGTATTTAAAGGGACACGCAATGAAGTATGTGAGTAAGGGGACACGAAGTGAGGTATGTATTTAAAGAGACAAGCAGTGAGGTATGTATTTAAAGGGACACGCAATGAAGTATGTGAGTAAGGGGACACGAAGTGAGGTATGTATTTAAAGAGACAAGCAGTGAGGTATGTATTTAAAGAGACAGACACACAGTGAGGTATGTATTTAAAGAGACACACAGTAAGGTATGTATTTAAAGGGACACACAGTGATGTATGTATTTAAAGAGACACACAGTGAGGTATGTATTTAAAGAGACACACAGTGATGTATGTATTTAAAGAGACACACAGTGAGGTATGTATTTAAAGAGACACAGTGAGGTATGTATTTAAAGGGACACACAGTGAGGTATGTATTTAAAGAGACAAGCAGTGAGGTATGTATTTAAAGAGACACACAGTGAGGTATGCATTTAAAGGGACACGCAATGAAGTATGTGAGTAAGGGGACATGAAGTGAGGTATGTATTTAAAGAGACACGCAGTGAGGTATGTATTTAAAGAGACACACAGTGAGGTATGTATATAAAAGGACCACGCAGTGAGGTATGTATATAAAAGGACCACGCAGTGAGGTATGTATATAAAGGACCACGCAGTGAAGTATATGTGTACGGGGACATAGATGCAGTCCAGGCAGAGACACGCAGTGAGTGAGGTGTGAGTGTTCAGAGAGGGAGGGGTAACTCTGGTATTTCTCCTCATTTCCTGCTGATTTTGGAGTTTGTTCCTTATATGGGCAAACAGAGCATGCAGGGTGAGGTCACAGCAAGACAGCTGGAGCAAGAGGTGATTACACATTACATAGCTGTATATTGTGCTTCCACCTCTCTGAACACTATCACACACTGTTAGAGATATAGATATATCTATCTCTATCACACACAGTGTGTACCTCTATCATATACAGTGTACCTCTATAACACAGTGTGTACCTCTACAAGCCCTCTTCAGCCTATTATTCCAGTAACTTTTTGTAATTGTCTTATTTATTGTTAAATCTTCCCCTTTGATAATATTGTAAAGCGCTACAGAATATGCTAGCGCTATATAAATACCAGTAATAACAACACACACACAGCATATACCTCTATCACACAGTATATACCTCTATCACACTCACTCAGTATAAAAACTCTGATACACAGTATAACTCTGATACACAGTATAACTCTGATACACAGTATAACTCTGATACACAGTATAACTCTGATACACAGTATAACTCTGATACACAGTATAACTCTGATACACAGTATACCTCTATCACACACTGTGTACCTCTCTGACACAGGCATATACAATGTATATTGTACATAGATGGAGAGCCTCTCCCATGGATCTAGTTTGTCTCTTTGTTCTGTCTCCCTTAGAGAGCTGCCCTCTCCCAGGTCTGTCTCATGGTGTTGTCTCCCTTAGAGTGCTGCCCTCTCTTTGGTTTGTCTCAAGATGTTGTCTCTCAGAGTGCTGCCCTCTCCCAGGGCTGTCTCTCTTAGAGTGCTGCCCTCTCTCTGGTTTGTCTTGTGGTGCTGTCTCTCTGAGAGTGCTGCCCTCTCCCAGGTCTGTCTCGTGGTGCTGTCTCTCTGAGAGTGCTGCCCTCTCCCAGGTCTGTCTCGTGGTGCTGTCTCTCTGAGAGTGCTGCCCTCTCCCAGGTCTGTCTCGTGGTGCTGTCTCTCTGAGAGTGCTGCCCTCTCCCAGGGTCTGTCTCTCTTAGAGTGCTGCCCTCTCCCAGGTCTGTCTCGTGGTGCTGTCTCTCTTAGAGTGCTGCCCTCTCCTAGGTCTGTCTCTCTGAGAGTGCCTCGCCCATGGGGTTGTCTAATGTCCCAGGCCGCTCCCACTGTGTTTCTGACTGTCTCTCTGAGAGTGCTGCCCCGCCCTCTCTCTCTCTCTAGCCCCCTCACCCCAGCCCCTTGCATGTCTCCCTGTGAGAGTGCTGCCCCTCCCCCAGTCCTGCCTCTGGGCTGTCTCTCTCGCTCTCACTCCGTCTGTCTCGCAGCTTGCACTCAGTCTCTGATCCTAAGAGGTAAGAGACAATCACTGCTGTCTCTCCCGGGTCTCTAATAATGGCCTCTCTCTCTCCCTGTGTCTCTCTCTCTCTCTCTCTCTCTCTCTCATCTCGGGCTGTCTCTCTCTCTCTTATCTCGGGCTGTCTCTCTCTCGGGCTGTCTCTCTCTCTCGGGCTGTCTCTCTCTCTATAACGGGGGATGGTGGGCTCACAAAGGGCAATCAGTGTCTTATCGGGCAATATGGGGGGCTGAAAGATAATATGGGGTAACTACATTATGGGGGTGTATTGTGGTAACTGTACATTATGGGGGTGTATTGGGGTAACTACATTATGGGGGTGTATTGGGGTAACTGTACATTATGGGGTGTATTGGGGTAACTGTACATTATGGGGGTGTATTGGGATAACTGTACATTATGGGGTGTATTGTGGTAACTGTACATTATGGGGTGTATTGGGGTAACTACATTATGGGGGTGTATTGGGGTAACTGTACATTATGGGGGTGTATTGGGGTAACATTACATTATGGGGGTGTATTGGGGTAACTTTACATTATGGGGTGTATTGGGGTAACTGTACATTATGGGGCTGTATTGGGGTAACTGTACATTATGGGGCTGTATTGGGGTAACTGTACATTATGGGGCTGTATTGGGGTAACAACTGTACATTATGGGGTGTATTGGGATAACTGTACATTACGGGGTGTGTGTGTATTGGGATAACTGTATCTTATGAGGGGGTGTTGGTAATTGTACATTAAGGGGGTGTGTACTGGGGTAACTACATTATGGGTGTGTGTGTGTTACTGTTCATTATGCGGTGTGTATATTGGGGTAACTTTAAATTATGGGGTGTGCGTATTGCGATAACTGTTCATTATGGAGTGTATGTATTTGGGTAACTGTACATAATGGGTTGTGTGTATGTGTAGTGGGATAACTACATAACTATATTATGGAGTGTGTTTATAGGGGTAACTGTACATTATGGGGTATGTATTGGGGCAGTTGGGCAATATGGTGGTGTATTGGGGTGAGTGTATTTATTGAGATAACTGGTAATTATAAGGATGTATTGGGGTGAATGGGCCTTGTGGGGTATGTTTCGGGATAACTGGGCATTGTGTGGTGTGTTGTGAGTAATTGGGCATGAGGTTTCTGTGAAATGCCAGGCTGTGGGGGTGTCTCTGGATGGCAAGCTGTATAGGATAAACTGTCTATGTGTATTACCTGTCTTCTACAATCTCAATGTATTGATATGTATTTAACATATCATGTGTGACATGTCATGATTCCCTTTTATTCCAGAAGTTTGGTCCTTAAGGGGTTAAATTCATCCTCATGTTAACCCTGAGTGCTGCCTGTGTCTCATTCCTTACTGGGGGATCCCACACTTGTAGGCTAGTTCCCACTTTCCTTTTGTGAATGGGGTCAGTTAGTTGCCTCATCCCTTACTCGGTCCTGCTCTCAGCTAGTTGCCTAATTCCTTACTCGGTCCTGCTCTCAGCTAGTTGCCTAATTCCTTACTCGGTCCTGCTCTCAGCTAGTTGCCTCAGCCCTTACTGGGGCCCGCCTTTGGTTAGTTGCCTCAGCCCTTACTGGGGCCCGCTTTTGGTTAGTTGCCTCAGCCCTTACTGGGGCCCGCTTTTGGTTAGTTGCCTCAGCCCTTACTGGACACACTCTCGTCTAGTTGCCTCATTCCGAACTGGGGCCCGCACTCGGCTAGTTGCCTCATTCCGAACTGGGGCCCGCTCTCGGCTAGTTGCCTCATTCTGAACTGGGGCCCGCTCTCGGCTAGTTGCCTCATTCCGAACTGGGGCCCGCCTCGGCTAGTTGCCTCATTCCGAACTGGGGCCCGCTCTCGGCTAGTTGCCTCATTCCGAACTGGGGCCCGCTCTCGGCTAGTTGCCTCATTCCGAACTGGGGCCCGCTCTCGGCTAGTTGCCTCTTTCCGAACTGGGGCCCCCCGCTTTCGGCTAGTTGCCTCTTTCCGAACTGGGGCCCCCCGATTTCGGCTAGTTGCCTCTTTCCGAACTGGGGCCCCCTGCTTTCGGCTAGTTGCCTCTTTCCGAACTGGGGCCCCCCGCTTTCGGCTAGTTGCCTCTTTCCGAACTGGGGCCCCCCGCTTTCGGCTAGTTGCCTCTTTCCGAACTGGGGCCCGCTCTCGGCTAGTTGCCTCTTTCCGAACTGGGGCCCGCTCTCGGCTAGTTGCCTCTATCCGACTGGGGCCCGCTCTAAATGATAGATTAGCTGTATACTGCCCCCCGATGTCTCATCACCTGTATAATGACCCCGGTGTCTTATTGCCCGTAATACTGCCCCTGGTGTCTTATCGCCTGTATACTGACCCTGGTGTCTTATTGTCCATTTACTGCCCCCGGTGTATTATCGCCTGTATAATGACCCCGGTGTCTTATCGCCCATAATACTACCCCCGGTGTCTTATTGCCCATATACTGCCCCCGGTGTCTTATCGCCTGTATACTGTCTCGCAGGTGTTGGATTTCCTGTATACTGCCCCCCGGTGTTGGGACGTGTGTATACACCCATTAATATGCTAAGGTTTGCAGTCCGTCGCACAGCACCCCAATACACCATTACACTGACTTATAGCAATGACACTCTTAGAACTCCCAAATCCCTACTAAGAACTGGGATCCTGCACTCCAGTGCGCACCTCAGCGAGCAGCACTCACATACCATTTAACCTCTTCTTCTGGACGCTGTGATACTCTGGAAATGACACTCAGCTGTAGTCTGGGATTACGTGCACCCCAGTTCTGTATTGTGATTAGAGACTGTCTTGGTTTAAATGCTGAGATCTACAAAAACCCCCGGGAAGGTTTCCATGGAAACGAGTGGAGCTAGCGGACGGCGTTCAACCTTGGGCTGCAGCATGGGCTGTTCTGCAGGATCACAGAGAGCGTAGGATTACAGAGCTCTGCTATGCATTAACCCCTGCGCGGCCGCCACGCATACCTGTCACATGCACCATGCACGCCGTACTTCCCACAGGAAACACATGGGTTAAATGAAGAAACCATACACCGAGCTGAGTAATGTCCCTAGGGAACAAAGAGAGATGGCTTAACGCTAATTTAAAACTTGTTTGTGTGTGAGTGGGGGGGGGGGGGTTCTTTTACAAATCCCTTTGGTTATGTTGTTTTCTGCTAAAGACCATATAATTGATGTTTAAATTATACATTTTGTTTTATTTTATTTATTTTTTTCTTTTTAGACTTTAAGATGGATCCAGCTGCGCCGGCCACACGCATGACATCATCATTCACCATCAACATTTCCACTCCATCCTTCTACAATCCTCCCAAGAAATTCGCTCCAGTGGTCCCCCCCAAGCCGAAAGTCAACCCATTTAAAGCATCTGATGAACCAGAGCCCCCACATTCCTCTGCAGGCCCCCAGGAACATTCGGCAGGGCCTGGGGTGCGAGCATTTCTGGGAAAAGTTGGAGAAATCCCCTCATCAGCACCACCTAGTGTTGAGCAGGAAGGTGAGACAAGCATCTGTGGCTTACGTGATCCCCATACGCTGTACACATGCTTTCTTTGTCCTCGTGTCTGCGTTGTGAACGCGCTTCCCTACATTGTGTGAGCTGGTTTTTTTTATTTTTTGTAGCTACAAGTCAGTTAGGATTGTATCACTGGTTTTATTTGTCTAGTTTGTGTTCTATACAAAGTGTCATCATGAAACTACCGTCTTTTGAAACAAAGAGGGCATTGTGTTTCTGCGATGTCACACAATGTTAAACATGGAAGTAATAAAAAAAAACAGAGAGGGGCGATTTAAAGAAAGGTGCCCCAATGCTGCTACCCTTAGGGCATGACCGGATGCTTCGAACTGGCATTGTGATCCTGCAGCTCCTGCAGGTAGTGGTGAGAGGCCGGCGCTGCTTATTTTGAACTTTCTGTTTTGGGATTTTCAGTAAAATGACGGTACTGATGGTCACAGTGTGAGATACCAGTGACGTACTGTGCTTTTTGTCATAGAGATCTAGTTCGTTCAGTTTTTAACCTGTGGACTCTTTGCTGGCAGCTTCTCGCTCTCCCCTGAGGGGTTCAAAGTCCGGCCCTTTCTAATCTCCAGCGGCCAGGATTATGCTCTTTAACAAGAAGCATTGCCTAAAGGCAAATAACTTAAAGTAATTTAAATTCTATCCTGCTCAGGATTCCCCCTCTATAGTATATCACATACTTACCCCTCCCCCTCCCTGACCTCCATAGCATATCACATACCTACCCCTCCCCCTCTCTGACCTCCATAGTACATCACATACCTCCCCCTCCCTGACCTCCATAGTATATCACATACCTACCCCTCCCCCTCTCTGACCTCCATAGTACATCACTTACCTTCCCCCCCTCTCTGACCTCCATAGTATATCCACCTCCCTGACCTCCATAGTACATCACTTACCTTCCCCTCCTCTCTGACCTCCATAGTATATCCACCTCCCTGACCTCCATAGTACATCACTTACCTTCCCCTCCTCCCTGACCTCCATAGTACATCACTTACCTTCCCCTCCTCTCTGACCTCCATAGTATATCCACCTCCCTGACCTCCATAGTACATCACTTACCTTCCCCTCCTCTCTGACCTCCATAGTATATACCTCCACCTCCCTGACCTCCATAGTACATCACATACCTCCCCTCCCTGACCTCCATAGTACATCACTTACCTTCCCCCCCTCTCTGACCTCCATAGTATATCCACCTCCCTGACCTCCATAGTACATCACTTACCTTCCCCTCCTCTCTGACCTCCATAGTATATCCCCCTCCCTGACCTCCATAGTACATCACTTACCTTCCCCCCCTCTCTGACCTCCATAGTATATCACATACTCTCCCCCTCTCCCCCTCTCTGACCTCCATAGTATATCCACCTCCCTGACCTCCATAGTCAATCACTTACCTTCCCCTCCTCTCTGACCTCCATAGTATATCCACCTCCCTGACCTCCATAGTACATCACATACCTCCCCCTCCCTGACCTCCATAGTACATCACTTACCTTCCCCTCCTCTCCGACCTCCATAGTATATCCACCTCCCTGACCTCCATAGTACATCACTTACCTTCCCCCCCTCTCTGACCTCCATAGTATATCACATACCTACCGTCTCCCTGACCTCCGTAGCACATCCCATACCTACCCCTTCCCCTGACCTTGTTGAGGAGACGTGTAGAAATTCTAGTAACTGCATATTAGTATATTGCACCAGAGATGGTTTTATTGGAGCGCTGTGATTCAGGGATGTTTCATTGATCTTTATTGAAACTTACAGCTGTAAATATGCAGTTTAAGGAAATGAAGGTGACTGTGTGCATTGTGTACACACGTATCATACAATAATAAATCGAATGGAAGCCAATGTGTGCGTTACGCAGTAATAATGCCCAGCCGAAGAGTTTATCGTGCAATAAAATGAATTCCTAGTCATAGCTATGCAGCCAGCTGTCTCTTCTGAATACACCCTCTAAAATACTTTATTATCTCTCTTTAAACATTATTTCCCTCTTTTTTTTTATTTTTTTTTTAAATCACTTTTGAAACTATTATCCTAAAACACACTTTAAAAGTTCTGCAGCTCTGTGTATCTGGAGCGACGTGTTATCCCATTGAAACACGTATAAGCAGTGTTGCTTTTAAGTGCAATCTCAGATGTGCTGTTCCTGGTTGGCGGTTAAGGTGGTTGGAGGTTGAAACGGTTGGGGGTAGAAGAAAGTAGAAAGTGATTACTCCGGTGCGTGGGTGATGCTTCCGACGCGTTCATGCACATCTACTTGGAAATTGCAATATTAGCAGGTCGTTCCTGGACGTCCTTCCCATAATGCTGTACGCTGGCATGCGCCCTGACTGTGCCTAGCACTATTAGGGTTAAGCAAATGTCCACTGTATTCTCTGGCTGTGCCAGGACAGTCTATCTTACTAAGGGAATTTCTCTGTTAATGTGTTTATTAATGTGAATACGTGATTAGTAATGGGCAATGTACCAACACTTATCTTATCTTCGTCCTAGTAACCTTGGGGGTTAGTAAGTTGGAGACAGCGTGAACACTTGGAGGTATCGCAGTGCCAATCTCGAACCTTACTATGTTTTCACTTTTCAGATCTGCAAACCGAATAGCAGATCCTGACCCATCGCCCGCTGGTCGGCGTATTGGGAGGTGCCTGGCCTATGCTGAGCGGTTTTGAGCACAGCCCATATGGTCTACATGTTTAGGAATATTCTTTGCTTCTTTACTTACTCCAGAAATATCTCTGGACTGCTGAACACTAGCGTTTTATTTGTGTAGTCATGACGATTCCTGGAAATCTTGCGGTTTATAAAATTATTACTGTCCTAAGAAATGGCAACAAAAAATACATTTTGAGGATTTTCTTACCAATTAAGAATAAAGTGTAAAATGCTAAATTTTTTAAAAAACAAACAAAAAACAATCAAACCCAAAAACCAGTAATTTATAGGTCTAACATTCTCCACCAGCATAATGTCTGAATTAATAAGTGTCTGTTAGTTCACATCCTTTCTTGCTTGCGGTTATCTTGAATGCAGTTTTTATCTTGAAGCTGCTAAAATCTTAAAAGCCGTTGTTTTTGGTTTTTAACTTTTGACTGTTTTCTGGTTTTGTAGCCTTCATCTTGTATACATTAGAACCATTTCCTTAATACCTCTAAACATTCTTGGATTCAGTGTAACAGGCTTAGTTTATTCTTAATATTTCACCTGATTTAGTGCAGTTATTTTCCAGCCATGCCGATGGGTGTAAATGTCTGGAGCTGTGCCAGGCTCTGTCTGTCCGTGACTCACTGTCTCCCTATACAGCAGCCACGCCATACTCGCCTGTCACTTGTTTGATACACGTCTTTCCCTTGAGGTTTCCTGTCTTTAATATAGCGCCAGGCGTGAATGTTACGTGGGTGTCTTTGTGCTGATATGTTTTAATAGGGAGATAATACTCTATGAGCAGCTGCTGTTTGATAATCTCTACTGAGCTGTAAGGGTAGATCGAGAAATGAATGGGTGGGCGAGTAAATGTACACACTACTTCTAGTCTTGCAGTGAGGAGACCGAATACACGCATCTCCTCTAATATGAAAACACAGGTGACATCATCTTATATGGAGATATGTGGGAGAAGGTGAAACATCTACACTGGGTATAGGGTATAGACCCATAAACCATGGGTATAAGTATGGAGATAAAGGGGGTTAGTAGAAACCGTGGGCTGTAGTATGGAGATATAGGGGGTTAGTAGAAGCCGTTGGCCGTAGTATGGAGATATAGGGGGTTAGTAGAAGCCGTTGGCTGTAGTATGGAGATATAGGGGGTTAGTAGAAACCGTGGGCTGTAGTATGGAGATATAGGGGGTTAGTAGAAGCCGTGGGCTGTAGAATGGAGATATAGGGGGTTAGTAGAAGCCGTGGGCTGTAGTATGGAGATATAGGGGGTTAGTAGAAGCCGTTGGCTGTAGTATGGAGATATAGGGGGTTAGTAGAAACCGTGGGCTGTAGTATGGAGATATAGGGGGTTAGTAGAAGCCGTGGGCTGTAGAATGGAGATATAGGGAGTTAGTAGATGCTGTGGGCTGTAGTATGGAGATATAGGGGGCTAGTAGAAGTTGTGGGCTGTAGTATAGAGGTATAGGGGGTTAGTAGAAGCCGTTGGCTGTAGTATGGAGATATAGGGGGTTTAGTAGATGCCGTTGGCTGTAGTATAGAGATATAGGGGGCTAGTAGAAGCTGTGGGCTGTAGTATGGAGATATAGGGGGTTAGTAGATGCCGTGGGCTGTAGTATGGAGATATAGGGGGTTTAGTAGATGCCGTTGGCTGTAGTATGGAGATATAGGGGGCTAGTAGAAGCTGTGGGCTGTAGTATGGAGATATAGGGGGTTAGTAGATGCCGTGGGCTGTAGTATGGAGATATAGGGGGTTAGTAGAAGCTGTGGGCTGTAGTATGGAGATATAGGGGGTTAGTAGAAACCGTGGGCTGTAGTATGGAGATATAGGGGGTTAGTAGAAGCTGTAGTATGGAGATATAGGGAGTTAGTAGAAGCTGTGGGCTGTAGTATGGAGATATAGGAAACCGTGGGCTGTAGTATGGAGATATAGGGGGTTAGTAGAAACCGTTGGCTGTAGTATGGAGATATAGGGGGTTAGTAGAAGCCGTTGGCTGTAGTATGGAGATATAGGGGGTTAGTAGAAACCGTGGGATGTAGTATGGAGATATAGGGGGCTAGTAGAAGTTGTGGGCTGTAGTATAGAGGTATAGGGGGTTAGTAGAAGCCGTTGGCTGTAGTATGGAGATATAGGGGGCTAGTAGAAGCTGTGGGCTGTAGTATGGAGATATAGGGGGTTAGTAGAAGCTGTGGGCTGTAGTATGGAGATATAGGGGGTTAGTAGATGCCGTGGGCTGTAGTATGGAGATATAGGGGGTTAGTAGATGCCGTGGGCTGTAGTATGGAGATATAGGGGGTTAGTAGATGCCGTGGGCTGTAGAATGGAGATATAGGGGGTTAGTAGATGCTGTGGGCTGTAGTATGGAGATATAGGGGGTTAGTAGATGCCGTGGGCTGTAGTATGGAGATATAGGGGCTAGTAGAAGCCGTGGGCTGTAGTATGGAGATATAGGGGGTTAGTAGAGACCGTGGGCTGTAGTATGGAGATATAGGGGGTTAGTAGAAGCTGTAGTATGGAGATATAGGGGGTTAGTAGAAGCTGTGGGCTGTAGTATGGAGATATAGGGGGTTAGTAGAAACCGTGGGCTGTAGTATGGAGATATAGGGGGTTAGTAGAAACCGTGGGCTGTAGTTTGGAGATATAGGGGGTTAGTAGAAGCCGTTGGCTGTAGTATGGAAATATAGGGGGTTAGTAGAAACCGTGGGCTGTAGTATGGAGATATAGGGGGTTAGTAGAAACCGTGGGCTGTAGTATGGAGATATAGGGGGTTAGTAGAAGCCGTTGGCTGTAGTATGGAGATATAGGGGTTTAGTAGATGCCGTTGGCTGTAGTATGGAGATATAGGGGGCTAGTAGAAGCTGTGGGCTGTAGTATGGAGATATAGGGGGTTAGTAGAAGCTGTGGGCTGTAGTATGGAGATATAGGGAGTTAGTAGATGCCGTTGGCTGTATTATGGAGAGATAGAGGGTTAGTAGAAACGGTTGGCTGTAGTATGGAGATATAGGGGGTTAGTGGGCTGTAGTATAGAGATATAGGGGGTTAGTAGATGCCGTTGGCTGTAGTATGGAGATATAGGGGGTTAGTAGAAGCTGTAGTATAGAGATATAGAGGGTTAGTAGAAGCCATGGGCTGTAGTATAGAGATATAGGGAGTTAGTAGAAGCTGTAGTAAAGAGATATAGGGCGTTAGTAGAAGCCGTTGGCTGCAGGTATGGAGATATAAAGGGTTAGTAGAAGCCATGGGCTGTAGTATAGAGATATAGGGAGTTAGTAGATGCCGTTGGCTGTAGTATGGAGATATAGGGGGTTAGTGGGCTGTAGTATAGAGATATAGATGTTTAGTAGTTTCCGTTGGCTGCCGTATGGAGATATAGGGGGTTAGTAGTTTCCGTTGGCTGTACTATGGAGACATAAGGGGTTAGTAGTTTCCGTTGGCTGTACTATGAAGATATTAAGGTTTAGTAGAAGCCGTGGGTTGTGGTATGGAGATATGGGGCAGTCCTAATGGTTGAGTACTTTACATCTTTTGAGGGAACACTTTTTTTTTCTAGTCTTTTATCGTCTGTCTGTCTTAGTATCTATCTCTCTCCACACTAATGGCGACTACATTTTTTTCTTTCAGATTTTATCCTTCCACCTCCTCCACCCAGTGATGAACTTGTCACATCTCCCACTGCATTCTTCCCGCCACCTCCACCCTCCTTTGGAGATGACATACTTGAGTCGCCCACTTCCAGTTTCCCTCCACCTCCCCCTGTTGACTTTTCAGAAGCTTTCCCTCCCCCGGTAGAAGATTCCTTCCCATCCCCTCCACCTTTGGAGGATTCACCTGGTGAAGCCACTGTAGGACGGGACAGTCAGGTAAATGGGATAAAGTATATTTAAATGGTCACCTACTCTGAGAATTCATCTGATTGCTTTTATTGTTCCTTTTTGCAGGTTCCTCCACCACCTCCAGCTCCTCCTTTGTTTTCTCCTAAGCCAGCAGGTCCCCCTTTGTTTTCTCCTAAGCCAGCTGTCCCTACATTTTCACCTAAGCCAGTTGCCCCTGTATTTTCTCCTAAACCAGCTGTACCAGAAGTTTCTGCCTCTGGTGTCTTTCCCAAACCCTCTGTCCCTGTATTTTCCCCTAAACCAGCTGTTCCAGAAGTATCTGCCTCTACTGTCTTTCCCAAACCCTCTGTCCCTGTATTTTCTCCTAAACCAGCTGTTCCAGAAGTACCCACCTTTACTGTCTCTCCCAAACCCTCTGTCCCTATATTTTCTCCTAAACCAGCTGCTCCAACATTTGTCCCTAAACCAGTTGCTCACACTTTTGTCCCTAAGCCAACAGCCCCTACATTTGTTCCTGAATCACCTGTACCTAAGTCAACTCCCCCTTCAGCAGTTGCCCCTAAGCCAACTGCCTCTTTTGCAGTTTCCCCTAAACCTTCTACTCTTTTTTCTAAACAATCTGAAGCACAGACATTTTCATCTCCCCCTTCTGCCCCTACTCCCCCATCTTCTAACATATTCTCTCCTAAACCTGTTGGCCAACCCTCATTTTCTCCAAAACCTCCAGCATTCACACCTAAATCTGGCCCTTCCACATTTTCCCACAAACCATTAGATACAAACATAGACAATTCTCGCCCTCAAAACAGATTTCCCCTATCTCAATCTGTCACTAAAGTGCCCCCTTCTGTCACGGGTGAAGCTGCTCTGCCACCACCAGTACCAGGACCAGGGTTTAACTTCGTGCAGCAACGCGAGAAACCTCGAGTGCTGGAGAAGCCAAAGGTTGATACGGAAGAACCCCAGTTTGAGACTGTCAAGAATCAGGGGCCCCAAACTGAGAATATTAAGAGCCATGGGTTGCAGTCCAACGGCTTCAGGCCACAACCGGAAGGGTTCTTGGACACAGGATCAAAGGCCGGTGGCATTCCAGTGAAAGAGCCTCCACCCAAAATGCAGAAGTCTCCTGAACCAGTGAGTTGCACCTTATATTAAACAACATATTATTACAGCTGTCAGACAGCTAAAGGTTTGTTTCAGGACGGGATCTACAGGGATTTTGTGCTTTGAGCAGCTTTTCATTTTAACATCAACAATAAGTGGAAGAAAGACAATTATGTATATATAATCTTATTAAATTAGTGAAGTAAAAACCGTGTGCCCCTTTCAAGTGTAATCAATAGCTGCAGAGCACGCAATATCTTGTGACACACAAAACATGGTGCAAATTTCCAATGTTTAGAGGGACATATCCACCAACATGCTAAAACAACTGCAGTAACGAACCCAGAATGCAAGCAAATATCATAACCCAAATGTTGGTGCTCAAAAAAGTGAATAAATACGAATAATCCAAATGTAGTGATATTCCTTAAAGTCTCTTGAGTCGCACCTTAGGAACAAAATCTAGGAAAAAATCTGTTATAGAAAGTTTAGATAAATTGTATCACGCTCACAAATATCAAGTGCCACTCTCACTATCCAGGCATCGGAGGGATCAGGCTCCTTTTGTATGATGGAACCAATAAACAGAAGAGTAAGTATCCGGACCGGAAACGCTGGACGCCAAACTGCACTCAGTGCCGTGGTATAGCCGTAGTATGGATCCTTCACTGCCTGCCGTGGTATAGCCGTAGTATGGATCCTTCACTGCCTGCCGTGGTATAGCCGTAGTATGGATCCTGCACTCAGTGCCGTGGTATAGCCGTAGTATGGATCCTTCACTGCCTGCCGTGGTATAGCCGTAGTATGGATCCTGCACTGCGTGCCGTGGTATAGCCGTAGTATGGATCCTGCACTTTGTGCTGTGGCATAGCCGTAGTATGGATCCTGCACTTCATGCCGTGGTATAGCCGTAGTATGGATCCTGCACTGCGTGCCGTGGTATAGCTGTAGTATGGATTCTGCACTCAGTGCCGTGGTATAGCTGTAGTATGGATCCTGCCGTGCATGCCGTGGTATAGCCATAGTAGTCTGGATCCTGCACTCAGTGCTGTGGTATAGCCGTAGTATGGATTCTGCACTCAGTGCCATATAGCTGTAGTATGGATCCTGCCGTGCATGCCGTGGTATAGCCATAGTAGTCTGGATCCTGCACTCAGTGCTGTGGTGTAGCCGTAGTATGGATCCTGCACTCAGTGCTGTGGTATAGCTGTAGTATGGATCCTGCCGTGCGTGCCGTAGTATAGCTGCAGTATGGATCCTGCACTCAGTGCTGTGGTATAGCTGTAGTATGGATCCTGCCGTGCATGCTGTGGTATAGCCATAGTATGGATCCTGCCGTGCGTGCCGTGGTATAGCCATAGTATGGATCCTGCCGTGCATGCCGTGGTATAGCCATAGTATGGATCCTGCCGTGCATGCCGTGGTATAGCTGTAGTATGGATCCTGCACTCAGTGCTGTGGTATAGCTGTAGTATGGATCCTGCCGTGCATGCTGTGGTATAGCCATAGTATGGATCCTGCCGTGCGTGCCGTAGTATAGCTGCAGTATGGACCTTGCACTGTTTGCCACTCTGAGGTAAAGTCGTAGTGTAGGACCCTGGAGACAGAAGAAATATTAGCTTACATACATGCATTCACACGACTTGTGAAATTATATTAAGCATGCTGTGGTACCATGTCATATAAGGCAAGGCTCAAAGTTTCCACCAGTGAGTGGAATATCCGCCGTGGTGAGTGTGAATGGACACTCCAGGCTTTCAGCAGTAAGTCCATTTTGAGACCTGGCTAGTAACGTAGAACTAGTAACGTAGAACTTGAAATTTTAAGTCAGAGGTTGGAGACAGCTAAAATATCATCCTGTACCCTGACAAAAATGACAAAAAAATTTAATTCTGTATTGATCTGTATACAACCAAATAAAAGTTCACTATTACTTCAAAGGGACCCTTTAAGTATTTCATGTACCATAGCAGCTCTGTAGTGATTATGGTGCCATTAAGCGTTTTACAGCTCTGATTATACTTCACTATTATGAAGTGCAAATTTGTGTAACCTTGGGTGGCATTGAAGTGCTGGACGCAGTGGGAGTAGCTTAGCCCAGTGCTCTCGGATGATTATAGCCATCAGTGAACGTTATAAATTGTGCTTGTGTGCCACTGTAACGGACCGTTTCTCTCACAAGGGGATAAATCCGTTTAGGCGATAATCCCCTTTCCCATAGACCAGCAGCTACTGCAATCACCAACCTCCCGAACTCCAAACTGTACGAATCCCCAACTCACGAACAAGAAATACACGAACTCTGGAAGCAGCCGAACAGGAAAAGCAATACGAACGGCTTACACTCCTGGCAGTCAGCACACAATCCAATTCCCCCAATAACGAGACGACACTTCGTTTTGAGGGTTAAGCAGAATCTCTAGATTTATTCACACAACCTCCTTTTAAGACATTCTCCCATGCAAGGGAGGGATCTACAACAATTAGTACCCCAGCCAATAATGTACCAGTTACCTCCCACACATCTCCTCCCCTTAGTGTGACACATAATCCCATTAGTACAGACACAAATTCCCTGGGATACTGTATGTACCCCTAAACATAGGGATACCCCTTTAAATGTTACATCCCCTGGTAGCCCTGATCTGGGTGAGACACATATCCGAAAATCACCCAGATCGGACCAGGGGTTCAGGAATTATAAAGGGTTAAAGTTTTGACCGACTGCATGGCAAAAGTATCCGAAAATAGTTCCATGTACTTTGGCCCTGCAGTCGGTCACAGAAAAGGGAATGAATCACACGAATTGCCTGGGTTATAGAGCTTGGGGAGGATTCGTATGAATCCCCCTGTTCGTGGGATCCTTTCTACCGAACGGCGGGCCGTTCGGTAGTTTCTGCACGAATTGCTGGAAGTCTGGAGGTCTCAGCGGTGTTTGCTTAGTCGAGTGTCCGATTTTAGTTCCAGACACTCGACGGCAAAACACCGCTGTTCGGGAGTTTAAGATGGCCGCCGCCACGTGTTCGTTTCCCGAATGGCGGCCACCCAGAGGACACAACACACATTACACATATTGCCAATTACCCGTTTGCAACATTGTTGCAAACGGTAATTGGAGGCACACTTACTCCAGGGTGGTCTGGTTGTTCGGTAGTTTCACCCAATATAATGAATGGAGTAATTCTACCGAACAATCAGACGAATACTGCATACACATAACACTGTTTACCGAACACATAATATTAAATACAGCCTGAATGCAATTTGCTACACAATCTTAAAGGGCATTATTCCTAACAGTCAGAATATGTCCACGGATGGCCCTTAAAGGGCCAGTAGCAGCAATATAAAAATGTCACATGCCCAAATATTGCATACAAAAGTACGAATTCACAAGGGGGCCATAGTCAGATGGCAGGAGGCTGGCAACCAGGCTTCTCCAGTGCATAGTGGCGAGGTTGGTTTCGCCACAGCCACATTACAGGTTTTTAGTGATAAATTGACAAGCGCAGCGCACACTATCCTAGTTGTCACTGAAAACACTGTCATGCCATGAGTTGACTGAGAGGTTGTTGACCCTTGGTGGATACTTGGCTAGAACTCTGGCACTCGTGGCTTATTTTGGTGGAATAATGGATGTACATTAAGCGTGTGTGCCTGGACGGTTCTCGAATCCTATGAGCCTACAACTGTTTCTATTTGCTTTGCAGGAACGCGCAGGTCCTCATGGGTTAAACATGAATGAGGTCATGGAGCTGGAGAAGCTGACTCAGCAGCTAATGAAGGAGATGGATAACCAGCGCACGGCTAGCACACAACCGATGGGTACGGAATCACGTTCTGCCCGCTTCCTGAAATGGATCATTGTTTGGGGGGATGGGCCCTCTGCAGAAGAACAATCTTCCGTCAGCCTGGGGTTCTGCTGGTTACATGGGATTAAAGCTCCTCTTGCAGAGCTTTTGCATATAATCATGGCATGCACTCTAAAAATGAAAGCTTAAATGGTAACTGTACATGATCTATGGAATCCGATGGTGCTATATAAATAATAAAATAATAATAATGATGTGAAGTGGTCATGGTGCCTGGGGTCTGTTTGGGCAGCGGTTCTTTCATTAACCGCAGTGGCCTCTTCTACAGTTAAAGGACCACTCTAGGCACCCAGACCACTTCAGCTTAATGAAGTGGTCTGGGTGCCTGGTCCTTCTAGGGTTAACCCATTTTTTCATAAACATAGCAGTTTCAGAGAAACTGCTATGTTTATGAATGGGTTAAGCCTTCCCCTAATCCTCTAGTGGCTGTCTCATTGACAGCACTAGAGGCGCTTATGCTTCTCACTGTGATTTTCACAGTGAGAGCACGCCAGCGTCCATGCATTATGAATGCTTTCCTATGTGACCGGCTGAATGCGCGCGCAGCTCTTGCCGCGCGTGCGCATTCAGCCGACGGGGAGGAGAGAAGGAGGATCGGAGGAGGAGAGCTCTCCGCCCAGCGCTGGAAAAAGGTAAGTTTTTACCCCTTTCCCCCTTCCAGAGCCGGGCGGGAGGGGGTCCCTGAGGATGGGGGCACCCTCAGGGCACTATAGTGCCAGGAAAACGAGTATGTTTTCCTGGCACTATAATGGTCCTTTAAGGAGATAAGTTGAGGAAGAATGAAATGTTTATGCAGCTTTTAGTATAATTGTACGAGGAAAGGATTGCAGAGGGTCTCTACTGTAATTAATGTATATATGGTGCATCATGCATCCCATTCACTGCACAAATCATTTTCCCAAACAAACATTTCTTATTGAACAATAATTTCTTCATTATTGTGCCAATCAATGTCATATCCTGTGTTACCCTGTATAGCGTCATATCCTGTGTGTTACCCTATATAACGTCATATCCTGTGTTACCATGTATAGCGTCATATCCTGTGTGTTACCCTGTATAGCGTCATATCCTGTGTTACCCTGTATAGCGTCATATCCTGTGTGTTACCCTGTATAGCGTCATATCCTGTGTTACCCTATATAGCGTCATATCCTGTGTGTTACCCTGTATAGCGTCATATCCTGTGTTACCCTGTATAGCGTCATATCCTGTGTTACCCTATATAGCGTCATATCCTGTGTGTTACCCTGTATAGCGTCATATCCTGTGTGTTACCCTGTATAGCGTCATATCCTGTGTGTTACCCTGTATAGCGTCATATCCTGTGTTACCCTGTATAGCGTCATATCCTGTGTTACCCTGTATAGCGTCATATCCTGTGTGTGTTACCCTGTATAGCGTCATATCCTGTGTGTTACCCTGTATAGCGTCATACCCTGTGTGTTACCCTGTATAGCGTCATATCCTGTGTGTGTTACCCTGTATAGCACTTTGATTTATATTAAATATAATGCATATTACAACTTTGAACATCTTCTGTTCCCTCAGATCGATGTGGATTCTGCAAACAGGGGCTTTCTCGGACAGAGACCATTGTGAAAGCTGGTGAGCACCATTATCACGTGGCGTGTTTCACCTGCTCCAAGTGTGACCAGCAACTCCAAGGCCGCCAATACTACGAGAGCGCTGGGAAGCCATTGTGTGAAGATTGCTATGAGGTGTGTCTCGCACTATATATTATACGTGTGGAAAGAGTGAGGTCCGGCTTTCTAGTTAATATAAAACTGGGCCTGTGTGACGTCAGACCGTTTCTCTGGATATGTTGTGACATCAGACCATGTCTCTGGATATTACTTGATGTCAGACCGTGTCTCTGGATATTTCTTGATGTCAGACTGTGTCTCTGGATTAGTTGTTACGTCAGACCTTGTCTCTGGATATTTCTTGACGTCAGACTGTTTCTCTGGATATCTTGTGGCGTCAGATGGTTTCTCTGGATATCTTGTTGCGTCAGATGGTTTCTCTGGATATGTTGTGACGTCAGACCGGGTCTCTGGATTAGTTGTGACGTCAGAGCGTGTCTCTGGATACTTCTTGATGTCAGACCGTGTCTCTGGATATGTTGTGACGTCAAACCGTGTCTCTGGATACTTCTTGATGTCAGACCGTGTCTCTGGATATGTTGTGACGTCAGACCGTGTCTCTGGATATGTTGTGACGTCAGACCGTGTCTCTGGATATTTCTTGACGTCAGACCGTGTTCCTGGATTAAGTGTGACGTCAGACCGTGTCTCTGGATATTTCTTGACGTCAGACCGTTTCTCTGGATATCTTGTGACGTCAGATGGTTTCTTTGGATGTCTTGTGACGTCAGACCGCGTGTCTGGATATGTTGTGACGTCAGACCGCGTGTCTGGATATGTTGTGACGTCAGACCGTGTGTCTGGATATGTTGTGACATCAGACCGAGTGTCTGGATATGTTGTGACGTCATACCGTGTCTCTAGATTAGTTGTGACGTCATACCCTATCTCTGGATATATTGTGATGTCAGACCGTGTCTCTGGATATGTTGTGATGTCAGACCGTTTCTCTGGATATTTCTTGACGTCAGACTGTTTCTCTGGATATCTTGTGACGTCATATGGTTTCTCTGGATATCTTGTGACGTCAGACCGCATGTCTGGATATCTTGTGACATCAGACCGCGTGTCTGGATATCTTGTGATGTCATACCGTGTCTCTAGATTAGTTGTGACGTAAGACCATGTCTCTGGATATATTTTGACGTAAAACCATGTCTCTGGGTTAGTTGTCACGTCAGACCTTGTCTCTGGATTAGTTGTCACCTCAGACTGTCTCTGTCTGGATTTGTTATTGACTGTGCACAAAATATCCAGACAAAGACACGAGAATTAGAAGAACTGACAACAAGATTGTTTCATTTAGGCCATAAAAGATGAGCTAGAAAAACATTGTGGTGTTTTGTTTTTTTTGTTTGTTTTTTTTCTACCCTAATTCTCCTGTTCTCCTGGCCTATAATTTCCAATTCCCCAGGTAGTTCTCTATAGTTGCTGTTTTAGGTGGGAATCTTGTAATCACACCCTGAGGGATGTTCGATTTGGTTGGTTTGAGGTCCTACATTCCTTTTTTGTACGTGATTTTGATATTTTGACTGTGAGGTCATGGTTTATCCTATCGGATACACTAAAGCTATTCTACTGGACAAGTTGAAGCTATGTATCCTATTGTATATGCTGGAATTGTAAAGTCATATTGTATCAATTTGGAAATGTGGGCTCTGTGTGGACATGCTGTAACATTTTGGGGTTGTGATAGTTTTAAGTCTCTCTCTGAAGTTGTTTTGACTGTGTGTCTGTAGATGGTTGGTTTGTGAGGCCAGACTGTGTGTCTGAAGATGGTTGGCTTATGAGGTCAGACTGTGTGTCTGGAGATGGTTGGTTTGTGAGGTCAGACTGTGTGTCTGGAGATGGTTGGTTTGTGAGGTCAGACTGTGTGTCTGAAGATGGTTGGTTTGTGAGGTCAGACTGTGTGTCTGAAGATGGTTGGCTTATGAGGTCAGACTGTGTGTCTGGAGATGGTTGGTTTGTGAGGTCAGACTGTGTGTCTGGAGATGGTTGGTTTGTGAGGTCAGACTGTGTGTCTGAAGATGGTTGGTTTGTAAGGTCAGACTGTGGGTCTGAAGATGGTTGGCTTATGAGGTCAGACTGTGTGTCTGGAGATGGTTGGTTTGTGAGGTCAGACTGTGTGTCTGGAGATGGTTGGTTTGTGAGGTCAGACTGTGTGTCTGGAGATGGTTGGTTTGTGAGGTCAGACTGTGTGTCTGGAGATGGTTGGTTTGTAAGGTCAGACTGTGTGTCTGAAGATGGTTGGTTTGTGAGGTCAGACTGGGTGTCTGAAGATGGTTGGTTTGTGAGGTCAGACTGGGTATCTGAAGATGGTTGGTTTGTATGGTCAGACTGTGTGTCTGAAGATGGTTGGCTTATGAGGTCAGACTGTGTGTCTGGAGATGGTTGGCTTATGAGGTCAGACTGTGTGTCTGGAGATGGTTGGTTTGTGAGGTCAGACTGTGTGTCTGAAGATGGTTGGTTTGTGAGGTCAGACTGGGTGTCTGAAGATGGTTGGTTTGTGAGGTTAGACTGTGTGTCTGAAGATGGTTGGTTTGTGAGGTTAGACTGGGTGTCTGAAGATGGTTGGTTTGTGAGGTCAGACTGTGTGTCTGAAAATGGTTGGCTTATGAGGTCAGACTGTGTGTCTGGAGATGGTTGGTTTGTGAGGTCAGACTGTGTGTCTGGAGATGGTTGGTTTGTGAGGTCAGACTGTGTGTCTGGAGATGGTTGGTTTGTGAGGTCAGACTGTGTGTCTGAAGATGGTTGGTTTGTGAGGTCAGACTGGGTGTCTGAAGATGGTTGGTTTGTGAGGTCAGACTGGGTATCTGAAGATGGTTGGTTTGTATGGTCAGACTGTGTGTCTGGAGATGGTTGGTTTGTAAGGTCAGACTGTGTGTCTGGAGATGGTTGGCTTATGAGGTCAGACTGTGTGTCTGGAGATGGTTGGTTTGTGAGGTCAGACTGGGTGTCTGAAGATGGTTGGTTTGTGAGGTTAGACTGGGTGTCTGAAGATGGTTGGTTTGTGAGGTTAGACTGGGTGTCTGAAGATGGTTGGTTTGTAAGGTCAGACTGTGTGTCTGAAGATGGTTGGTTTGTGAGGTCAGCCTGGGTGTCTGAAGATGGTTGGTTTGTAAGGTCAGCCTGGGTGTCTGAAGATGGTTGGTTTGTAAGGTCAGACTGGGTGTCTGAAGATGGTTGGTTTGTGAGGTCAGACTGTGTGTCTGGAGATGGTTGGTTTGTAAGGTCAGACTGTGTGTCTGAAGATGGTTGGTTTGTGAGGTTGGTTTGTGAGGTCAGACTGTGTGTCTGAAGATGGTTGGTTTATATCGGAGCTCTGTGTAGGAGGTGAGCTATGTGTGGGATTATATCAGAGCTCTGTGCACAGGTGATCTGTGTGTGGGATTATATCGGAGCAGTGTGTGGGATTATATCAGAGCTCTGTGCAGGACGTGAGCTATGTGGGGATTATATCGGAGCTCTGTGCAGGAGGTGAGCTGTGTGTGGCATCATATCAGAGCTCTGTGCAGGAGGTGAGCTGTATGTGATTAAATTGGAGCTCTGTGCAGGAGGTGAGCTGTGTGTGGGATTATTTTGGAGCTCTGTGCAGTAGGTGAGCTGTGTGTGGGATTATTTCGGAGCTCTGTGCAGGAGGTGAGCTGTGTGTGGGATTATATTGGAGCTCTGTACACAGGTGAGCTGTGTGTGAGATTATATTGGAGCTCTGTACACGGGTGAGCTGTGTGTGGGATTATATTGGAGCTCTGTGCAGGAGGTGAGCTGTGTGTGGGATTAAATCTGAGCTCTGTGTGTGGGATTATATCGGAGCTGTGTGTGGGATTATATCTGAGCTCTGTGCACGGGTGAGCTGTGTGTGGGATTATATCGGAGCTCTGTGCACGGATGAACTGTGTGGGGGATTATATCGGAGCTCTGTGCAGGAGGTGAGCTGTGTGTGGGATTAAATTGGAGCTCTGTACAGCTGTGTGGAATTATCTAGAGCTTGGTACTAGGAGGAGCTATGTGTGTGACTGTTTTGGAGCTCTGTGCAGGGAGTGATCAGTGTGTAAGATTCTGTTTGAGCTCTGTGACTGATTCCATCTTCCTTGCTCTCTGTTAGGACACGTTAGAGCGCTGTGCAGTATGTGATAAGAAGATTACAGAACGCCTGCTGAAAGCGATGGACAAAGCGTATCACCCTGGCTGCTTTACCTGTGCCGTCTGCCATTGCACTCTCCAGGGAGTGCCGTTTATCGTGGACGACAATAATCAACCTCATTGTGTGGCAGACTATCACAGGTCTCTCTCTCTCTTATCTTTCTGTATTTCTTACTTTAATTCCCATGGGTAATCTGGGCTGGAAAATAGCAACAACCAATCGATAATAAAAGGTAAAAAAAGATACATGCGCCATAAATTCCCAGACGTTTCAAAGTCACCAGCCAATCAGAATGCGCTATTAACTTTTCTGTTACTCTGTACAAAATGCTGACTTTTCCCCTTAATTCGCCATAAAATGTCTTTATGGGCAGAGCAGGGGGTTAACACACAGAATATATAGACGATAAACTACACAAAATGCCGCCTGCAAGAAATGCAGCTAATCGGGCTGAGAGCTATAAAATGTATAAATGTTGTTATGTTATTAAGCTGTTTCCCTCCCTCTCACAGGAGGTACGCCCCTCGCTGCTCTGTCTGCGGTGAGCCCATCGCCCCCGAGCCTGGCCGAGACGAGACTGTGAGAGTATTTGCCCTGGAAAGAAACTTTCACATGATGTGTTATAAGTGTGAGGTGAGACCCTTCGCAAAGTATAACTCCTATCACTCCATTACGTCAGCTGCATGATGGATCCGAGGATTGCGAAAAATAGGAAACTAATGTTTCTAATTCCTCTCAATGGATCATTCACTTCTAATAATATAGACATTTCATGTAAAATTTAAATGAACACTATAAGGCAAGGAACACAAACATGTATTCCTGACTCTATAGTGTTAAAACCATCGTCTACCCTCCTGGCCCCCTTTGCCTCCCTAAATATAGTAAAATCTTACTTGTTTTCAAGTCTGCAGCTGCTTGCTCTGCCCCTCTCTGCCTTTGACCTGCCTGCTGTCTGCTGAGATCAGGAGTGGTGGTCTGAGCCAATCACTATGCTTCCCCATACAATTGGCTGAGACTGTCAAGGAGGCAGATCAGGGACAGAGCCAGCACAAGTCAATAACAGCCCTGGCCATTTAGCATCTCCTCATAGAGATACATTGAATCAATGAATATCTATGAGGAAAGTTCAGTGTCTGCATGCAGAGAGTGGAAACACTGAATGGCAGTGCTGCTTACATCTGAGGAGTGGCCAGTGGAGGTATCCCTAGGCTGTAATGTAAACACTGCATTTTTTCTGAAAATACTGTGTTTACAGCAAAAAGCCTGAAGGTAATGATTCTACTCACCAGAACAAATTCAATAAGCTGTAGTTGTTCTGGTGACTAGTGTGTCCCTTCAAATACACACAACAATTATTTCATTGTAAATCAGGGATGTGTTCTATGTAGTTATAGTTATTCATTATAAATTGAATTTTCTAAATATGAGCTCTCACTTTAAATTGTCAAGGGATTCAGTGGGGTAAAAAGAAAATATACCATAGACTGGGATAGGGGAATATGAATATATTTGCTGGAAAAGCACAGAAATATATTAAAGAGACACTGTAGGCACTATTTCAACTCATTGGACTGGTAATAGTGCCCGGAGTCCTCTGGCACTGTCCCTCCATGCAGTGTTAAACCATTCCACTTCATTTAAGTGGTTATAGTGCTTGTAGTCCCCAGACACTGTTCCTCTATTTAGTGTTAAACAATTTTCGAGCAGTTTAACACTGAGTGACCACTGGATGTGTGACTAAGACAGAGATTGCCCCCTTCCTTCTAGCCATACCAATTCATCCTGACACCCCTCTTCCAACCTCTCTCTTGCAGGACTGCGGTATTCCTCTCTCCGTGGAGGCAGACGATTCTGGCTGTTTCCCTTTCAATAACCACGTCTTGTGTAAGAAATGCTACACTGTGCAGGCCCGTGCCGCACTCTGATGCTCCTACGGCAGCCATCTAACCTACACTCAGGAACTGGCCACCAAAGACTCCTGGACCCTGGAACCACTCCGTCCATTTTGCTGCTTGTAACGTAGATCAGTGTTATGATAAAAAACAGTTTACAGCTTCTTCAGAGACTGCTAGTCAAGTGCTGGTTAGTGGTTCATCAGCTACTAGCCATTAGTTAGTACATTTTATCTGATAGCAAGCCGGAACACAGCTTGTGCCCATAAGTGCCAGCACCTATTCCTATATACTTTTTTATAATTCTGTATAAAATTCTGTTTAGTTTTTTTGATGTTTATTTTTATTGTTTTGTATTTTTTTAAATCTTTTAGAATTTTTCTTTCTTTGATCTATGCACCTTTATTCCTGGGGGGGTTGGGGGGATGGAGCCAATCAGAGGGCAATGAATGTGATTGGAGGGCTGGGCAAGATTTATTAACCCCTTTCAGGGTAATATTTCAGATGAGCACAGTCGCCTGCTGTGATTGGGATTTACAGGCCATTCTAATGAGTGCAAGTATCGTTGTATCGACTGTCAAGATATTGCGTGTCTATGGTAGAATTGATTTTGAAGAATAGAGGAAGGCCTGGTGATGAGTGTGAGAGCCAAGACAGATTGATACGTTATTTTTTACATTTGGGAGGGATTTCAGATAACCAATAAAGCATTTTATACAAATAACCACTTGTGTATAACCCTTTTCTTTTAATATATCAAAACAGACTATACCTGGTTAGGAGAGCAAGGGGGATATTAAATGAATCTCCTAATGTTACTCATACAGGGAGGTGCAGATCGCTAAGCCATGACGCCATAAATACCACTAAGCACATGGATTTCATTGGTCTATTAAATTCTATTAATTCCCAACTGATCAAATAAACAATGTACGACAATGTAATTTGAGGAGAGCCTGTTTATTGGTTACAAGAAGAAAAAAAAACATTAGAACAAATAGAAGAATGTTACAGTAATGGAGGGCCCAACACCTGTTTCTACATGTTTAGACATGGCACTAATGATTGTGTATGTTACAGGTGGTGACTGTATCTGCTGTATATGTGTTACTGGTTAGTGTCTGTTGTAGGGTAGACATGTGGTGGTGGATCAACGTTGTGTTAAAAACTAAAAGAAAGGTCATAATATTTCCACTGGTAAACTCGCCCACCAGGCCTGGATCTGATGGTTTCCAGTGACGTTGTGCCACCTCGCGACACCATTTCTCAGTGTGGGACTCCAGGTTATGTCTCCCCTACCCCCCATGCTGAATGTTTAAGACAATTGCCATAAATGCTCAGCCTCCCTTCTTTAACCCAATGCCTAAAACCGACCCTATGATAACACATATTATATGCCTCGTTGCTTCACTCTCTCATTTGCCCTATTAAATTTACTCCCTTCAGAACCCAGAAAGCAAACTCTTAAAGGGATAACAATATATACAAAAAACTTATGTGGATTATAGGAAAAAATTACATTTAGTGAAAATTTGCAGAACTGGCTTGTGCTGTTAACGCTGGGCATTGCCCAATCAAATGCTTCTCATAGACAAGTACTGAGAACACATCTCTAGTGCAAAGGTTCTTATCAATAGGAGGGGTTTTAACTGAGATTTAGGGTTTCATACAAAAAAAAACACAACTGAAAAAAACATCTTAATTGTCGATTGGTGCTCAATCGACTATTGGGTAAGATTGATTGGAGTTCTATTCTACATAAGCAAGTGTTTGTCTCAATAATAATTCTAATATATTAGATTAATATTTTAACTCGCCTCAGCCAGATTCTCATTGAACAAGGTATGAGTTGTTGGCAAACAGGGGCAGGCAAGTTATAACACTCAGTTTGACGTACATTTCCAAGAGAGGGGCTTGTGATTTTTATTTTATTTTCTTCTGATAGGAAGGATCAAGCTCATAAAACAGATTTGATTTATATTTTTTCTTTAGATAGTTACATTTCCTAAGAGCCAGACCCGTGGCACTGCCAGGGTGATCACTAAATTCCATCTAAGTTCTGCTAAATGAAATTTAAATGGCAAATAGCCAAGCTAGGATTATAGCGGAAATGGAGGATTTTTCTGACTCCGCTAATTTAGCCTGAATTTTGCCATTTGGATTTAATTCACAAACATTTGTAGCTTAGTTAATAAACCTGCGTGTGTAAGTCACCCAGCCACAGGCAGCTTGTGTTTGCTGTTGGGTGGTTAGCATGCTGTCGGTGCAAACATCAGACGCACAAGTTGCACAAAACCAATTTAAACACATCAATATCGTAACGTTTGGAGGCGCAGAGCCTTTTGACAATGCTGGCATAAGACCTTTTTATTTAACGGAATTCAATCACACAGTAGAACGCAAGCGAAGTCTGTGATATTGATTAGGGATTAGAGCGGTTTGTTCTAGGTTACGTGAGGTGTGGTCTATATACATCATGCAGGGATGGAGATAGATTTTAAGAAAGGCTTATTTGCCTGTTGGCATGTTCTCGGTAGATTATTTAAAAAATTTTATACCGCATGGTTATTGTGGATTCTGCTTTCACCAGATCTATTGAAGAACGGGGGACTATGTATCTATATAGTGACTGCCATCCCAACATGTAAGCAGCATTAATAAAGCCACTGAACCAGTTTCTCCCCCATGGACAGACATCTGATATTCAAGTCGGTCTTAACTCGGTGAGTCGCCATAACTCCTGGTAGCGTTTTGGGTTCTTGGCGCATGTCACTCATATTAAGAGAACGACCTGGTGAGAGAAAGAAGATGTAAAATCTAAATGCACGCTGTTTTCAAGGATTTTCTTAATTCAGTTACTGTGAAATCCTGAACGCGTTCAGGAGGCTGGGGACCATTGCACTTTTTTCTGGTGGTTCACTCTGCCTTTATTAAATCAGTGTTTCGTGCTGTAAAATGTATGGTGCTTAAATCTCGCTACCTTGTTTGGAGGTGAAACCCTCACTATAGTGCAGCGATAGAGTGACGCGTTGGGTGGGGCTTATTAAAATAGCTGTCGAAAAGCACAGCAGCACAACCAGGATGAAACTGAATTGTTAATTTATTAATTAAAAAGCCACCAACTTACTCTATAGCGCTGCATAATGGGAGGACAAGACATACCAATTCAACAGGACAAGTTTGTCTCGCATTAAGAAGTTGCTCAAGCTAGCTTTCAATAAAAGTTATCCTTGCACTGGCATCCTATTTCTCGCCGAGTGAGTGGTTTACCACAGTCCCCCATTAACCTGCTTGCTGTCATAGTAAAAAGGCCCCATTTTTAGCGTATGCTCAGTGGGAGCTCCCTCGCAGCTGCAGCACTTTCCCCCGAGAGTTGGTACAGTTTTAACGAGTCCATACTGAGCTCTGCATGATGCTTTAACCCATAACTAATCCCTAGGGCACCTTCCGCGGCTAGCTTCTGTGTCCCAGGTTCCTGAGCATTTTTAACAGGGAGTTATGTACATAGCATTTCAATTACAATGTATTCCTAAATATTAATATTATAAATAATAAAAACGGCAGTCTTCCCATTAGGACAGGTGTCCTCATTGTGTTGAGCAATAAACAGCTTATTATAGAAAGTTGCCTGGGGCGTGATTTGTTTCAGACGTTGGGGACTCACTGAAATAGCACGGGGAATCACTTTTGGACAAATTTAAAGGACCACTCTAGGCACCCAGACCACTTCAGCTTAATGAAGTGGTCTGGGTGCCAGGTCCCTCTAGGGTTAACCCTTTTTTAAATAAACATAGCAGTTTCAGAGAGTGAGAACACGCAAGCGTCCATAGGAAAGCATTGTAAATGCTTTCCTATGAGACCGGCTGAATGCACGCGCAGCTCTTGCCGCGCGTGCGCATTCAGCCGAAAGGGAGAAGAGGAGGCGGATCAGAGGCGGAGAGCTCCCCGCCCGGCGCTGGAGAAAAGGTAAGTTTTAACCCCCTCCTCTCCCTAGAGCCGGGCGGGAGGGGGACCCTCAGGGTGTGGGCACCCTCAGGGCACTATAGTGCCAGGAAAAAGAGTATGTTTTCCTGGCACTATAGTGGTCCTTTAAGAACCCTCCATACTCCTTACAGTGGCCATTATTTACCTTTTGAAAAACTGATTCATCCCAACATTATTAGATTATGGGGCCTGGCCTGGAGTGAGCAGTAATACGAGGCGAACCGGTGTAGGTATATTATGGATGCCCTGAGTATACCCAGACCAGTGCGAATGTGTCTAATGATATACTGATCAAGAACATTTCCCTGGAGTCCACAGACACGGAACACTAAGGAACAAACCCGGGAGGGCAGGAGAGACCCGAATTGGAGACATTGCCGTCAAACCTGGAACAGTTCGATGTATGAAAAAGAAATTGCAACATGTTAGTACATATGAGTAAGACCCTGTTGAATTGCTGGATAATTGATCCTCTGCACATTATTGGTTATGGGCTTCAATTCTCTTTTTCTGATCGTGAAAATTATGCGACTGCTCTTATCCGGCTGCTATTTTGCAGTCGTTCCAGCAGAGCTAAGAATGTAATTGTGCATTTACGATGTAAGTGCTGTCTCCACTTAGAGCTAAATAGAACAAACTGGCGTTTGACCGCGCTGTATTTATCAATGGATATAACTGCCTGGTCCAAGAAAGCTCCTGGTTAGATCGTGTGTGCAGCCACCAAGGAAGGTGTAAAAAGTGGCCGCATTGAGGCATGGCTCGTGATCGGGCGTTCTTACAGGGTTATTAACCACCAGTCTGGTACTAGCAATGGCTTTCAGGAATTGGCTATTATTTTGGTTCATATGGTTGCCAAGACAAATAAATTCTTCATGCTGTGGGGAAAGGGAGTGTACTAGTCGATTTTACTTAGGTAGCACCTGAATTCTGCACTTTGCTGGGTAGCAAAGTTCAATCCTTGCATCGCAAGATAAGGAATTTCTTAAATCTCCTAAAAAAATAGCGATGCAGAAACTCAAAGCTAAGTTGTGTATCTTTTGCACCAGAAGAAATTATAGGGGACCACAGGTAACCCGACAGGTTACCTTTGCTAACCCCCTTCCTTCAGCCAGTCAGGAACTATTTAAAGCACAAAGTTACTGGACGACACACAATCCTGGAGTTACAATACAATTTTATTGACCACACATGGCTTTTATGCATAACCCCATGCAAGGGGTCTACCACACAATCATGCAGGGTCACATCCCAAGATCCTTCCCCTCCCTAGGGTCCCAGCGCAGGAAGGGACTCTGTTCCCTTTGTCTGTCACTAAATCCACAAGATCCCCCACACCAACCGCCAGGGGCCTTCTTCCCAAGAGTGTCTGTGCTTGGGAGTCTAGGCGCGGGAAAAGCCCGCCGGTGGGAAAAGAGCAGATCTCTTTGTCCCCAGGCTCAGGAGAGCCCGCCAAACTGGCCAGTGCCCCAAAAGTGCCCACACCAATCTCAGAGATCCTTTCCTCGGTCCCTCGATTGACTAGTCTCCGTTTGCGAGGTTCTGGTGTGAAACCCAGACAAAGGAAGCATCTCATTTCGGGGTACGCATGCTCCCCCTGGCTAGCGTCCTTCCATATGAATGGCGGCCACCCAGGGGAGCACTCATTAATTACTTCCCTTGCAGTTTCACATCTACGTTGCGAGTGCAAACGTTCTGATTAATTGGTGTGAACGTTCTATTGGGGCACTGGGGAGGTCCTTGTTCGGGAGACGAACGAGTCGGGAAACAATCCACAAATGCTACTCCTGGTGGCGTTCGTCTGCACGAATGGTGGCCACCCAGGGAAGCACTCAATTGTTTCCCTTGTGGTTTGCGGTTTTGACACTTATGTTGCAAGGTGTGAACATTCTAACCTAACATTCTAAATGAGGTATTGCGGTGGTGGAGGTGAATGAAATCCCTTCGGGTAAGCACTTCCGAACGGGGAGCGGGCACAATAAACGAACATACAAGGGAGTTTCACGAACAGGCAGCGGTTCCGCCACAGGAATCAGCTGCCAAGATCTTCAGAGATGACAGGCTTATTTACTTAACAGCGACTTGTGCCAAACCGGCCAGACACAGCACCTCTGCCATCAGATGAACAAATCATGGGGGCAAGCACTGTGTGGCGGTATAAAGAACAATGTTTCAACTCCACCCGGCCTTCATTAAGGAACACAAGATTTCATCCTCATGGTGCTCGCTCCAGGTAGGTACAGAGATCTGCACTCACTGGTACCCGGACTCAATGGAGTTTATCACTAAACACACAACTGTAGTGAATTGATAACAGAATTATTAAATGTTGGCCAAAATAGTTTAATGATTCTCAGCACAGCACCGATTACAGCTCAGTGATTTCCACCTAAATTGTCAGATTACATTCATTCTAGATCGATGTTTAGTAAATAATCCCTGTAGGGCTCTCACCTCTTTTCGTCAGAGGAGCTCTCTATGGCAATACTGCTGCTCCGGCACCCTCGGGAGAGAGTGTCTCGTGATCTCTGAGGACTTCGCAAAGCGAGAGAGAATGACTGTGAAATGAAAGAGATGAGACAACTCAGAGACTGACACAATAAGAATAAAGACAGCTTAGATGTTGTGTTGGATGGTCAGTAAGAAAAATGCTTAAGAGACAGCTCAAAAAGAGAGAGAGAGAAAAGAGCACTTGGATAGAGAGAGTACAGAGACAATTAGATGGCAGACCAAGTGAGAGAAAGACCCCGCACAGAGACACTCAATGAGAGATCCAGTGAGAGAAAGAGACAATACAAAGATAATTGGATGGCAGACCCAGTGAGAGAAAGAGACAGCATAGAGAACCTCAGTGAGAGATCCAGTGTAAGAAAGAGACAGCATAGAGACACTCAATGAGAAATGCAGTGAGAGAAAGAGACAGCATGGAGGCCCTCAGTGAGAAATCCAGTGAGAGGACATCATAAAGATACTTAATGAGAGATCAAGTGAGAGAAAGAGACAGCATAAAGATACTTAATGAGAGATCAAGTGAGAGAAAGAGACAGCGAGGAGACACTTAGTGAGAGATCTAGTGAGAGAAAGAGACAGCAAGGAGACACTTAATGAGAGATCTAGTGAGAGAAAGAGACAGCGAGGAGACAGTCAGTGAGAGATCCAGTGAGAGAAAGCGATAGCAAGGAGACACTCAGTGAGAGACCCAGTAATAGAAAAGACAGTAAGGAGACACTCAATGAGAGACCCAGTAATAAAAAGAGACAGTAAGGAGACACTCAGTGAGAGATCCAGTAATAGAAAGAGACAGTAGGGAGACACTCAGTGAGAGATCCAGTAATAGAAAGAGACAGTAAGGAGACACTCAGTGAGAGATCCAGTAATAGAAAGAGATAGCAAGGAGACACTCAGTGAGAGATCCAGTAATAGAAAGAGACAGTAAGGAGACACTCAGTGAGAGATCCAGTAATAGAAAGAGACAGTAGGGAGACACTCAGTGAGAGATCCAGTAATAGAAAGAGACAGTAAGGAGACACTCAGTGAGAGATCCAGTAATAG